AGTCCACGGTCATAAAAGAGCCAAGGTTGCCTATCCCTAAGCTAGCCTATCGGTTCAGGAAACACAAATCTGGAGACAATCTTGGACAAAATTTCCCTTCCATCTCTACCTTTTCAGCCTTGAGATACAAGACAGCTGCCATTACAGAAGTATCAGAACTGAGTCCTTAGCAGAATCAAGAATTAACAAACGGCAAGAGGAAACAAAATGAACGTAAACCATTTTATTGCATGAAAAAAATAGTGCAAAACAGTGCCAACTCATTGTCAGACATTCCTATTTGGTCAAAAGTAATCTAGATACATTGGATTATGAATTCCTAAGTCCTAACCAGCATGGCTAAGCAGATTACTGAAAGGATAGCTCAAGAGTTGTTGTTTTTTGTGGGGTGCGTGTGTGTGTTAGACTATTCAGAGATAGGTGCTGCCCAGGGAGAGGACTGAAAATTTTAGTGTGTGAAATTGCAAACCCTGGGAATTTGTATACAGTTTTTTTTAAAATTTGATTAGGACTTACCAAAATTTCAGGTTTTTCAGAAACACACAAAAAGACTGTTGGATGATAAACATTTGAACATCTGTCCAGCCAAAGAGAAAGTTGAATGCATAGTGATAAGTCCTTGGGAAATCCAAAATTAGGGGACAAGGAAAGGGGGGAGGCATCCTCATTTTTAGCAACCAGAGACCCTCATTTGCTTTGGTTACTTTTTTCCCCAAGAAAAGGTGGACTTCAGAAAAGAATTCGTTCTCGGATGGAAAGCACTTCTGATTATAAATAATCAATGCAGCGAATGGTGTGAAACAGGGCTTTGGCGAGGGGGAAAAAAGAAACACCCTGAAATTCACTCACCTCAGAACAGAAATGATTCTGTAGTAACAACCATTTTGAAGAGAATGAAACACTTTCAAAGGAACGGTTGTCACATCGAGCCAAACTCTACAAGACATCCCAACTTAGAGATAATTTAATTTCTGGCTGTTTTCTGTTAAAAATTACTTCAGTTTGCCTTACCGAACGTCTTGGTTAGACCAGATTTGGAATACTGCATCCAGTTCTGGTTGCCACAATATAAAAAAGGTGTTGAGGAGCGCAAAGATGAGCAACAAAGATGATCAGGGGGTTGGAGGCTAAAACATACGAAGAACGGTTGCAGGAATTGGGTATGTCTAGTTTAGTGAAAAGAAGGACTGGGGGTGACATGATAGCAGTGTTCCAATATCTGAGGGGCTGCCACAAAGAAGAGGGAATCAATCAATTCTCCAAAGCAAGACAAGAAACAACAGATGAAAACTAACCAAGGAGAAAACCAACCTAGAACTAAGGAGAAATTTCCTGACAGAACAATTAATCAGTGGAACAACCTGCCTGCAGAAGTTGTGAATGCTCCAACACTGGAGGTTTTTAAGAAGAGACTGGACAGCCATTTGTCTGGCATGGTACTATAGGGTCTCCTGCTTGAGCAGGGGGTTGGACTAGAAGACCTCCATGGTCCCTCCCAACTCTGTTATTATGCTTTGATGCTGACACTCTTCTTTAGTCTTCAGATCCTCTGATCACAAAGCTTTAAGTGACTCACAACACAGCGATCAAGAGGAGGTTTTCAGTCAGGGGGTATTCCATAAAAGAGGTGCAGTTCCTGGTGCGTCAGAGTAGTCAAAGGCGCAAGGGGTTATTTGGCTCAGATGCGGCAGCCGTTGATACCAAAGGAGGTAGTGAAAGACTGAAGCTCCTGGCAAGTGTTGCGATACTGGGTGGCTTTACAACGCCGAGGATCTGGTTGCTCTTCTATCCAGGAATTTTTATCCAGCAGGTACTGGGGACTGCAGACAGAAAGATCATTGAGTGCAAATCTGGCATGACACCCCTTCCCTGTGACATCCACCCAAGGGTCCTAGAGGCTGCAGCTGCTGACAGAACCCGCTGGCGAGCTATATGCTATGAAGCTTCTGCGGGCTTTGACGACAGGCGCTACTAAAACTGATAGAAAACCATGAGCGGCATCATAGAATAACACCCACAGTTACTACAACAATGGATTTTCAGTGCCCCCATAGGCTGGATTCTGTGCAGAGTCTTCTTCAAATCCACCCCACTCTCTCTGTGTCTCTCATCTATTTATCTATCCATCCATTCATATCTATCTATCTATCTATCTATCTATCTATCTATCTATCTATCTATCTATCATCTATCTATCTATCTATCTATCTATCTATCTATCTACCTACCTACCTACCTACCTACCTACCTACCTACCTACCTACCTACCTACCTACCTATCTATCTATTCTATGAAAGTGGGGAGTCAGTAGTTTTTCTTATTATTTCCTTTTGTCTTTTCTGTTTTTAAGGTATTTTAATTTTTGTTAAATTTGCTTTGTCTCATTTCCTTTTATCAATATATAAACACACACACACACACGCAAGAGTAACCACACAATGGTGATCTTAATATTAGATTGTAACTATTACTGTATGACAAACTTTGATGTGAATTCTTTTGTTTTCGTTGTCGTTTTGTTGTTGTTATATACTTAACCGGACTCCCTTCTCCATGGTCATCCATGTCAAGGACCTCTAACTGCACACTTCTGCATTTGGTCTTCCTGTCTGTCTGCCGACACACCACACACCGAATTTCCCTGCCTTGTTTCCCAACCTACCGCTCATTTGAGTCACGCGTTTCCCCGTCGTGTCCCATCAACAAATATTCTTTGCCTGCAGCCAGGCGGGTCTTGCAAGCAGCCCGAACCACAAAGCGACGGATTTGGCCGGTTTCGATTCTGGAGTCTGCAGCTATAGAGAGAGAGAGAGAGAGAGAAAAAAATCTAAGGTTGGAAATCTGAAAAAAAAATATATAAAGTCATCAAGCAAGGCGGTGAGCTTTTCTACTGCCCTAATGTCCGCAGGTAGTCCTTGACTTTGGACCAGAGTTGAACCCAAAATTTCTGTTGCTAAGCGAAACAGTTGTTAAGTGAGTTTTACGCCATTATACGACGTTTCTTGACATGATTGTTAAGTGAATCACTGCAGTGAAGTTAGCAACACGGTCGCTAAGTGAATCTGGCTTCTCCCTTGACTTTGCTTGTCAGAAGGTCACGAGAGATAATAATAATAATAATAATAATAATAATAATAATAATAATAATAATAATAATAATAATAATAATAATAATAAAGTTGGAAGGGATCTTGGAGGTCATCTAGTCCAACCCCCTGCTCACGCAGGAAACCCTACACCATTTCAGACAAATGGCTGTCCAGTCTCTTCTTAAAAACTTCCAGTGTTGGAGCATTCACCGCTTCTGGAGGCAGGTTGTTCCACTGGTTAATTGTTCTAACTGTCAGGAAATTTATCCTTAGTTCTAGGTTGGTTCTCTCCTTGATTAATTTCCATCCGTTGCTTCTTGTCCTGCCCTCAGGCGCCTTGATCACATGATCACTTGATCACATGATCACATGACCCCGGGATACTGCAGCCGTCATAAATATGACTCAGTTGCCAGGCATCTGAATTTTGATCATAGGACCGTGGGGAGGCTGCAATAGTTGTAAATGTGAAAAACTGTCATAAGTCGCTTTTTTTTAGTGCCGTTATAACTTCAAACGGTCACTAAATGAACTGTTGTAAATTAAATTACCTGTAGATTAATCCAGTTCCCACTAGGGTGCCCTTCCACTGACCCCCTCAATGCTCTGGGGGCAAAACTGTGTTTGCAGCCATTTCTCCTGAGTTAAAAAATCATTGGCTGTACAGCCCAATGGTCACAACATCAAATGGTCATGTTGCGACACAGCTGACCAAAGTATGCTAGAAATCCTAGTGGCATCTGAGCCTTAAATTTCTGAAACTTGGTCAATATCTGACAGTGAGAACGAGCAACCAATGGAACAGATTGCCTGGAAGCTTTCAAGAAGAGATTGGACTGCCATTTGTCAGAAATGGTGTAGGTAGGGTCTCTTGCTTGGGCAGGGGGTTGGACTAGATGACCTACAACAGTGGTTCTCAACCTTTTTAATGCCGCGACTCCAACCGGTCGTAAGTCAAGGACTAAACCGGTCGTAAGTTGAGGACTAAACTGGTCGTAAGTCGAGGACTAAACCGGTCGTAAGTCGAGGACTAAACCGGTCGTAAGTCGAGGACTTTCCCTGCCCGGGAGCACCGCGCATGCGTGGTTCCGCCCCCTGCGCCGGCCGAGGCGTAGCTGGCAAGCGGCAGAGACGGAGCAGGCCGACCACCAGCTGGCCCAGCCCAAGGGAGGTAAGGCACCCGCCGGAAAAGGGGGAAAAATGGCGGACAAAAAAAATGGCGGACAGCCTTTATTTGGCGACCCCCGTGAAATGGTCGATCGACCCCAAATGGGGTCCCGACCCACAGGTTGAGAACCACTGACCTACAAGGTCCCTTCCCACTCTGCTATTCTATTCTATTCTCTATTCCTGTTTTATTCTATTTTCTGTTCTATTCTATTCTATTCTCTATTCCTGTTTTATTCTATTTTCTATTCTATTCTACTCTATTCTATTCTCTATTCCTGTTTTATTCTATTTTATATTCTATTCTATTCTATTCTATTCTATTCTATTCTATTCTATTCTATTCTACTCTACTCTACTCTACTCTACTCTACTCTATTCTCTATTCCTGTTTTATTCTATTTTCTATTCTATTCTATTCTATTCTATTCTATTCTATTCTATTCTATTCTATTCTATTCTATTCTGTATTCCTGTTTTATTCTATTCTCTATTCCTGTTTTATTCTATTCTCTATTCTATTCTATTCTATTCTATTCTATTCTATTCTATTCTATTCTATTCTATTCTATTCTATTCTATTCTCTATTCCTGTTTTATTCTATTTTCTATTCTATTCTATTCTATTCTCTATTCCTGTTTTATTCTATATTCTATTCTATTCTATTCTATTCTATTCTATTTTCTCTTCTCTTCTCTTCTCTTCTCTTCTCTTCTCTTCTCTTCTCTTCTCTGTTCTATTTTTTCTCTCTTCTCTTCTAATACATACACATATAATACAACAGGTAGTTGTCAAGTAAGGGTAATCAGGGGTCCAGGCCATTCAGATGAATATATAGGTTCATTATAAGCTAAAGTTCTCCACAAGAAGCTGAGTTACTAATGGTCAAAACAAACTGGCGGTAGATAACAGTCAAAGGAATTTAAGGTGGACTGGACTTAGATCTCTTGTGAGTGCAAGGGGACTGGAGACTGATGACGCGTTTGATCCCTCCCTTGGGCTCAGCCCGATCATCTCCTACAGTAGTAAAATTGATGCAACAAAAACCCCGTGAAAGGAAGGCTACTTACTGAATTGAAGGGGCTCCTTGATTTTAACTTCGTAGACCCGGAAGGCACTTTCTTGGGTCTCACGCTCCACTCGAACCAGGAACGCTACGAAGAGGAGACAAAAGCGGTCATCTTTTGCCCTACTAATGACCAGAATTAGGGATGTTTCTCCTCCGATCCCTGAGGCAGCAGGAAAATACTTGGCAGGCACAGTGTCGCCTTCAATGCCAATCCTTGTTCAGCTAAAATAATGAGTCCAGTAAGCAGTGCTGACTTATTTATTTGAGGTCAAGTTAACCAAAGGGAGTGGCGGATTCCCCTGGCTTTGTTTTTTCTCCCACTTAAACATCACTGACCAGCAAGGAGGAAAAAAAACACCACTAACCACTTCCTTTAATTTGGAGGGGACGGGTCAAATTTGGATGGAATCTTAGAAGAATAGGTTGGGCCACCTGCCAAATTTCCCAGCTAATAGGTGATAAGTGCTACAAGATCTCATTCTTGGTAAAAACCAGTCAACCCCACCTACGAACTCTTAGAGCAGTGGTTCTCAACCTGTGGGTCGGGACCCCATTTGGGGTCGATCGACCATTTCATGGGGGTCGCCAAGCAAGGCTGTCCGCCATTTTTTTTGTCCGCCATTTTTTTTGTCCGCCATTTTTTCCCCCTTTTCCAGCGGGTGCCTTACCTCCCTTGGGCTGGGCCAGCTGGTGGTCGGCCTGCTCCGTCTCTGCCACTTGCCAGCTACGCCTTGGCCGGCGCAGGGGGCAGAACCACGCATGCGTGGCGCTCCCGGGCACGGAAAGTCCTCGACTTACGACCGGTTTAGTCCTCGACTTACGACTGGTTGCGATCGCGGCATTAAAAAGGTTGAGAACCACTGTCTTAGAGGCTATTTCTGAGCAGGGGCTCTTCTGAGCGTGCACTAAATCTGCATTCAAAATATCCCAGCTGACAGGAGGAGTGGAAGGGAGCTGGGAGTAAAGCAGGAGGAAGTGATTGATAATCAATGGGCTTCAAAGTTGCACAATGGCGCACGGGACGGTCAGTGCTGGCAGGGAGCGACCAAGGAGCCCAGTTCTGACCTTGTGGCTGGCGGAACCCAAAGTAGTCAGGGATAGCCATGGAGGAATTGTGATTGGGGTGCACCTGACAACAGTTATCAAAGCCGGAAAGGAATAGGAAATAGTGCTGGTCTACCACCGATGCACATAAGTAACTGTGGCATACTGTGCAAAAAGCCACAAGAACTGTTGATGCTCTAAACCAGGGGTGTCAAACTCAATTTCATTGAGGGCCGCATCAGCATTGCAGTTGCCCTCGGGGGGGTGTGGCCTACTGGGTGGGTGTGGATGGAATGGGTGTGGCCTACTGGGTGGGCATGGACAGCTCTACATTGTTCGTGTCAAGGGTGCCTGTGGGGGCCTGGGCAGGAGTGGGACAGATCTGAGGGTCTCTGGCAGAAGGGGGTGGGACCGGGGCAAGCGCCAAGGCATGGTCCATTTCTTCATTCCTCACAAAGGGTGACACCTCCCCAGCATGCACCCAGGGGGCGGGGCCAACGTGGCAGGGGCTGGTTCCTCGCTGTTTCTAGATGGCCTTGTGGAGCTAAGACTGAATGCATTTCAGCATAGATGGTCACCACAAAATTGTACATTGGCTCCTGGCCGGCCTGGGCCAGGGCCAAGGCAGAGGGGGCCGTTCCGTCACTGTTTCCAGGATGGCTTCGTGGGCCACATGAAACCACTTTGCGGGCCGCATCCGGCCCCTGGGCCTTGTGTTTGACATGTCTGCTCTAAACGGATCCCAGGAACAACAACCAGTTAAGGGAAGCATTATACTGCTCTGTACGAGAATAGAATAGAACAGAACAAAATAGAACAGAAGAGCAAAGAATAGAATAGAATAGAATAGAATAGAATAGAATAGAATGGAATGGAATGGAATGGAATGGAATGGAATGGAATGGAACGGAACGGAACAGAATGGAATATAGAACATAACAGAATGGAACGGAATGGAACAGAACAGAACAGAACACAGAACAGAACAGAACAGAATAGAATTCTTTATTGGCCAAGTGTGATTGGACACACGAGGAATTGGTCTCCAGTGCATAAGCTCTCAGTGTAGAAATAAGAAACAGTAAACAGTAAAATATAAAGGAGGGTGAAACAGATTATCAGTAGAAAATCTATCTAGCACCCAATGGAGACACAACTAATAAAATAAACATAGATGAACATGGCTGTTCCTTAAATGGACATTCTGTGCAACATAGAGCCATGCTCTTTCAAGACAGAACTAAACCATGTTTAAAAAACAGCAGTGTATTCTTCTAAAAGAGCGCCCAACCTGGGTCTATGAGGTCTGAAAAGCTTGATGGAAAGTGCCAGTAAGGCATTCCGTGGATTAGTAGTGTTTCTCAACCTTAGTCACTTGAAGATGGGTGGACTTCAACACCCAGAATTCCCCAGCAAGCAAGGGCTGGGAGTTGAAATCCACACATCTTAAAATGGCCAAGGTTGAAAAACACTACTGGATTCTGGATCCTGGATCTCTCGGGCTCTGCAAATGGACTTACATCCATCAAAAAGAAGTTGGTTAAACCTTCCCTATTTAACAATTGTGTCCAGCTGCTCAAATCTCACTGGAGAGAAAACCCTCTTAAGATGCTCAGGCATTGCTGTGTTTAAATATCCAGCACTTGGAAGGTGTGTTTAAAGCACTGTTCCAAGTAATGGATTTTTTTTTTATAATTGATGAGATTTTATCCATTCCATGAGATTTTATAATCCATGAGATTTTATAGTGTCCAAGAGCTTTTCCAGAATTTTTGGTATGGCGCTAACTACACAGCTTCTATTGGCATTTCTACTACTTTCTATTATTACTATTAATTGATCAAGTGGCCCAATAATAATAATAATACTGTGGAAGGAGAAAGGCAGGCCACTTTCTCCTCCTTCAAATTTATATGCCCCCTGAAATTATGTCTCCACCCCCCTCCACCCCCTCCTCCTCTGCCACCTAAGTTACTGCTTCCCCTTCTCCTTCTTTTCCAAGTCTAGGCATTAAAATTCTCTTTGTCAATTTCCTTTACTTTCACAGCTTTTTTAATTTCAAAAGTTCTCCTCCATGGAAACAATAGGGGAGGGAGGGAGATTTCGCAAAACTGCAAACTCTCAGTTTGATCACCAGGCGCCTCCCCTCGTGCCAACGTTGACCAAAATGTTGGCAGAAATGAAAAGAGGCCGCGTGAAGGAAAGGAAAAGGCACGAGGACCTGAACTGTGAGGTGTAGGTCTCCAGGAGCGTGAGAATAAGCAACGTTTGCGAATTTTCAAGGGAGAAAATTGAAATCAGCTCAAAGGTATCCAGGCTGCGGAGAGTGAGGATCTCCAGTCCATCTCTTACCATATTGCACACGGGGACTGTAACAGGCGAAGTTCATCCGGTTCTCTTCTGTGATTGCATCCTCCAGGGTACGCTTCAGACGTGGGCAGGCACCTGTTTGGCAGAAGGAAGAAATACGGTTCGATTCCTGGATACCACCTTGATGATGATGATGATGATGATGATGATGATGATGATGATGATGATGATGATGATATGATGATGATGATGATGATAAAAAGTTGGAAGGTACCTTGGAAGTCATCTAGTCCAACCCCCTGCTCAGGCAGGAAACTCTATACCAGTGATGGCGAACCTTTTAGAGACTGAGTGCCCAAACTGCAACCCAAAACCCACTTATGCATCGTCGAGTGCCGGGTGGGCGTGCCCAATTGTGTGGGTGTGGCCCATTGGGTGGGCGTGACCCATTGGGTGGGCATGGCTGCGGTGGTAACGGCAGACTGGGTGGGACTAAAAAGTTCAATCGATCAATTCCAACTTTGCAAGATCTTTCTTTTCCCCGCGAGAAGTTGAAATTAACTGATTGAACCTCTTTTTTTTTTTTTTGCACATGGCAGCGGAGGCCTAAAGCGAAAAGGTTTTATAAAACTCAGCTGAAGGCCTAGGACTGGGGCGACAGCGCGCGTGCCCACAAAGAGGGCTCTGAGTGCCACCTCTGGCACCCGTGCCATAGGTTCGCCACCACTGCCCTATACCATTTCAGACAAATGGCTGTCCAGTCTCTTCTTAAAACCTTCCAGTGTTGGAGCATTCACTGCTTCTGGAGGCAGGTTGTTCCACTGGTTAATTGTTCTAACTGTCAGGAAGTTTCTCCTTAGTTCTAGGTTGCTTCTCTCTAATTTCCATCCGTTGCTTCTTGTCCTGCCTTCAGGCGCTTTGGAGAATAGCTTGACTCCCTCTTCTTTGGGGCAGCCCCTGAGATATTGGAATACTGCTATCATGTCACCCTTAGCCCTCCTTTTCATTAAACTAGACATACCCAATTCCAGCAGCTGTTCCTTATATGTTTTAGCCTCCAGTCCCCTGATCATCTTTGTTGCTCTTCTCTGCACTCTTTCTAGAGTCTCAACACGATGAAAGGGGAGATTAGCGTCTAACTCCTGCGTGGCTGAGAGGCAAATCTAATTTCACGTGGGAATTTAGCTAGTTGTTTTAATGATTAAAGACTGGAGAAAGTGGACAAAACAACAAGGCTTTTGCAGTGGCCTCACATTCTCAAAGAGCCTTTCCCAAAATAGTAGTTCTTTTGGCATCAACCATCAGAAATTTTACACTAACAATTAAGTGTGGTTACAGTGAGCAAACACAGTAGCTATGGATATTTTAATACCGGGAGGGCAGTTGTGATACAGGCATTTACCAGATCTTGCATAGAGCATCATCATCAATGTGTGTGTGTGTGTGTGTCTGTGTGTATGATTAAGTCCTAATCTTTTAATATTGTACATCCACGGTGTTGGAGGACTGTATCATAAGAAGAACAGCCTCACTGTAGGGCTTGGCAATTACTAGAAAGGCTCAATATTATTTTGATTTCTCCTTCCTCAGTTGCATTCCTGAAAATCATCCTCAAGAACAGGGGTCTTCAAACTTGGCCCTTTTATGACTTGTGGACTTCAACTCCCAGAATTCCTCAGCCAGGCATGCCTGGCTGAGGAATTCTGGGAGTTGAGGTCCACAAGTCATAAAAGGGCCAGGTTTGAAGACCCTGCTCAAGAATGTATTCCTGATTGCAAAGAGAAACTGTTCAGACAATCCTTTGTCCAACTGCCCGGTGGTTCAAAGTGAGAGCAGATCAGCTGCATTCACCTTAAACGATCCATGAGAATCCACCTTTCTGGCTGACCTTGCAGAAGTAAACTTGGGTTCTACTTGTGATGTGCAAGGAAGAGGGCAGTCCATGGTGCCTCAGGCCTTAATTCAGGGGTGTCAAATTCAATTTCATTGAGGGCCGCATCAGCATTGCAGTTGCCCTGGAGGGGCTGGGTGGGTGTGGCCAGGGTGGGTGCAGCCTACTGGGTGGGCATGGCCAGCTCTACATCGTTCACGTCAAGGGTGCCTGTGGGGGCCTGGGCAGGAGTGGGGCAGATCTGAGGGTCTCTGGCAGAAGGGGGTGGGACCAGGGCAAGCGCCAAGGCATGGTCCATTTCTTCATTCCTCACAAAGGGTGACACCTCCCCAGCATGCACCCAGGGGGCGGGGCCGATGCGGCAGGGGCTGGTTCTTTGCTGTTTCTAGATGGCCTTGTGGAGCTGAATGCGTTTCAGCATAGATGTCCACCACAAAATTGTACATTGGCTCCAGGCCGGCCTGGGCCAGGGCCAAGGCAGTGGGGGCCGTTCCATCACTGTTTCCAGGATGGCTTTGTGGGCCACATGAAACCACTTCGCGGGCCGCATCTGGCCCCAGGGCCTTGTGTTTGACATGTCTGCCTTAATTGAAGGCCTTAATTCAGAGCCCTTAAAACCCACTGTCTTGTCCAGGCAACTTTACCTTCAGCACACTGGCAGACATCATCTGAGCACAACGCGGAGACATACTGTGGCTTGTTTGGAGCCCCGTAGAAGATGCTGCAACGTTGACCTGCAAGGGGAGAGTAGAACAGTCAGAAACTAAAGAGAAGCAGCAGCTGGGTTAATATGAGGAGCTAAGCTTATTTGATAAACTGCCTCTCCCTAACTGTTCCTAAATATCCCATCAGACCCAGTAGGAGAGGTGTGTTCTGGGTCCCGTCCATCGGAGACTACTGTCTGGTGGGACCCAAAAAGAAAGTTTTCTCTCTTTGGGAACTTGCTCTTTGAAACATCTCTCCCCTACCAGAGATCAAACTAGCCTCAACCCTGTTGACATTTCCTAAGGCAGAGGTCTTCAACCTTTCTAGATTGGCGGACCGGAGGGAAAGGGATGGGGAAGCATTTTATGCGTGCGTGCGGACACAAATGGGGCCGTGAGCATGCACGATGTAAAGGGGGCGGTGCTAGTGTCTGCGTGACAAGTTTCAAGTTTCAAGTTCAAGTTTATTGCATTTATATCCCGCCCTTCTCCTGGTGGACTCAGGGCGGCTTACAGCCAATTAAAAACAGAACAATTGATACAATATACAAAATTAAAACAAATTAAAAGATATATTTAAATAGGCCTTTTCTTATTTTTAAAAGTTGATTAAAAATCCAATAGTAAAATATCCCTAGGCCAGTCCTGCCTGCTGA